AGTAGATAATTGAAGGAATAATTAGTAAAAGATCTGAGATGCGCCATGTTGGAGTAGTCTGATGAGAATCAAAATGGTCGGAGTTAGTAAATGACAATGGAGAATTGCTTTTATATATGTTCTGATTATAAAGGTTAGGTGGTCCTTGTGTGTTTGAGATTCTCAACGGTCATATTTTTGTGCTGAATTCGTACTGAAGCAATATAGGCAAAGAACACTAGAGTTTATATGTTTTTGTCTTTACATGTATGTTAGTTTCTACTGTTTAAAATTGAGTCGTTATTTTTATATATGTAAAAGAAGTAGCATGCTCTATATTATTAGTTAGGTTATTATTTTTTGCTTCTACTTGGAATGAAGTGTTTGGCTAATTATTTAAAGTTTTGAGTTTAGGGTTTGTCTTTATTTCAGATTCGATCGACCAATACTATTGGTCCAATATTATAGTTCTATAATTAATTATAAATAGGAGCCCATGATTTATTATTTAACTATATATATTGGGATGCCCATTCATGATAATATTGTTTTAAGCAGGCTTAACCACACAATGAGGAACCCCACTTTCGATCTTTCCCCCTTGGGTAAGCATACACATGAACTAAATCTATTATAATAGTATATGATAATTATAAATATTTTTGAAGTAAATTGGGTTTAATTAAGGTTGGATAATAAAACGGTCGATCGTGTGGAGAAGAAAAATGAAATTGCAACGATAAAGAAGAATGGGTGAAAATATAAAAAGGGAAGTAAATTTATGATAGTGCGGACACACAACAGTGCTTCTATGCGTCACGTGAAGCCAAATGGGTCCTACGTTCTTTGAAAAGTACCACTCATCATCAATTCACGACCTATAATTTTTTTTTGAACGTTGGAGATTCTTCCAAACCTTTCTGTGTAAATCCGAAGGGACCATAAGGTTTTTCTGAAATTAGGACCATAGTACTCTTTGCTCTGATTTCCATCTATAAAATGTTGGATTACTCTTTTTCGAAAACTAGATCTCAATGTAACGACCTTCCTCTATTTTCTTTTTGGCTTTTCAGTTTACTGAATTCTTTGTTGAGATGGTTTGTAACATTTTTTTTTTTATGTTAATATTTTATACAAAAAGAACTTATTATGTAATATAGTTCCTCTCGGTTACCTTCAATACAAAAAATTGGAGAAAATTTGAAATTTTCATCACAGATGATAGATAATACACAACTAAAATAAATTTCAAGGGGAGATTAACATGTACTATCTCATTGGGAGATGGTCTCGCAATGCTCGGTCAACCAATATTTTGGAGACACTTGGAGCCGCAGTTTTAGATGTGAAGATCCTAACGTTACGTTAATATGGACAATGATCTGTAGTAGCAGTTTGAAGAGATTGTTTATAATCTATAAGGTGATATTTTATCCATTTTGTAATATGTTATACTTATATTTGGGATCCATTAAAAACGAACCAAATCAGATCCATATGATCAAATAACACATTGTGGATATGTTTTGGAGATTTGTATATATAAATAAATTATATAAATCATATGGGGTATCTAGTAGATACTATCTACCATGTACATTTATTCATATAAAAGTCAATACAATATTTTTACAAATATTATTCTAAAATTCTTGCTAATATTTTTAAAATTTTCCATTTTGATTATATATTTTTTGCAACTTCTACGTACAAGATATAAAGGTAGAATATATAAATTTTAGTGGGATATTCAGACACATAATATCCAACTAGTTTAGAATGGACCAAAAAATAAAACGGATCACGGATTTCAACTCTAGCTTAATTTTTACCACATTTTTCTTTTTTTTTCCGGCGAAACTATCCATCTTCGGAATCTTTCATCGTGGTTTGTGGGACCTATACTTAGTTTCACATTACATTCTAAAAAAAATGTGTATACTTCAGTTTCCTCTGATATTTTCTTGTGCATTAAAAAATGTTATGTTAAGAGAATATATAACCTGTAATTCTTCAGAGATGCTCAGCTCATCATAAAGTCATTATAGTAGGCCCATTTTTATCTTACAAAATCTTTTAGTGGGCCTTCCTAACTCCAAAGCATACGTGTTTCCAGCAAAACGACGCCGTAAGCAGTGTAACAAAAGACCGTTATTCTCTTGCCTAACTTTTCCCGCGCAGAAAGAAATCAATGATTCCATTGTTCTCTCTCTCCATTTCCAAAACACGTTTGATTCTCTGTTTTTTTTTTTTTTTTGGTTTCCTTATAATTAAGATATGAATTTCGAGATTCGATTCTCAGGTATTTTTTCTTTCCTTCCTCTGTACTTCAAATGCAATAAACTATTTGATAAATCCTCCTCCTTTATTAAATTTCAAATTTTGGAAAGAAAAAAAACAGAGCACATGATCGTTGCAGATGCAAGAAACAGAGGTTGGTGAAAGAGATATACACATCTATGCTTCTACTGAAGAAGACTCTATGTCTTTTCACGAAGAACACAGCCCAGATCATGAACAAATGGTTGAAGCGTTTCGTAATTTGCTTCTCCTCCATGGCCACTTACCTGCAAATCACGGAGATCATGATACACTTCTCAGGTAAATGTCAAAAATCATCCTACAAACGAAATTTTCTGTTTGAGAATTTAATACTCAAAAATCGTTCGATATGAAACCAGGTTTCTGAAAATGAGGGATTTTGATCTGGAGAAATCCAAAGATGCGTTTTTGAATTATATCAAGTGGAGGATGGATTCTAAAGTGGATATGATCTCTAAGGTAAAGAATGAGGGCACTTTCGATTTATTTTTTCGTTGACTAGATCAGCTCGCTCACAAGATGTTCGACGAAATGTCTGACAGAGGTTTAAGTTTGAGGAATACGGTGAAGTGAAGAAACATTACCCTCATGGGTTTCATAAGGTAGATAGAAATGGTAGGCCAATATACATTGAGAGACTCGGGATGGTTGACTTGAACGCGTTTATGAAAGCAACCACTATCGAGAGATATGTCAAGTATCATATTAAGGAACAGGAGAAAACTCTGAGCTTGAGATATCCGGCGTGCTCAATTGCTTCAGCGAAGCATGTTTCGTCTACCACAACGGTTTTGGATGTCTCGGGAATAGTAAGCGTTCGATATTTTCCGCCTCCTGATATGACCAATTCTTGTCTTATATTGTTGTGGCTAATCATTTGTTCTTGAAAAGGGAATGTCAAACTTCTCGAAACCTGCGAGATCACTCTTCATGGAAATTCAGAAGATAGACAGCAACTATTACCCTGAGGTATGTGGATTTAGGGTATTTCGTTACCAGCTTCATGCATGAACAATCCTTGTAACTCTGGTTGGTTTTTGGCATAGACTTTGCATCGCCTCTTTGTTGTCAATGCCAGTTCTGGATTTCGGATGTTGTGGCTTGCGCTCAAGACCTTTCTCGATGCTCGTACATTGGCCAAAGTTCAAGTAAGCATATGCCACTCCATGCTTGCTCATTGGGTTAGTCACAAAGTTCTCTACCAGAATTATGTTTGTTTCAGGTGCTAGGACCCAACTACCTTGGAGAGCTGCTTGAAGCTATAGATCCAAGGTTCAAACCTTTTTCTGATATATTTTGTATATGAAGAATTGCGTTGGAATCTCAACGTTTTTTGTGTTTGATATCATAAAACAGCAACTTACCGACATTTCTTGGAGGAAATTGCACCTGTTCAGATCAAGGAGGCTGTCTTTTCAGCGATGAAGGTCCCTGGAATGATCCAAAAATCAAGGAAAAGATCCAGGTTTTTGCCAGAAATCATTGAGTTTCCATCATCTTTACATACATACACAGTTAGTTCCAATAAAATTGGTTTATTTCTCCGATATTTGTAGGAGAATTACACAGTGGGAGATACTGATTCTGAGGGGAAAACGAAGGATAAAGTCCCACAACATTCTTTAGCCAATCAACAAGTATATATAAAAAGTCTTGTTCATGAAATTTGAATTCTTGAAACCAATATTGAAGCTGATTAAGATATAAATGGAATGCAGAAAGATTTAGGCAAGAACATGATTACACTGCAGAAGTATGCTAACCTGACAACTGCTGTTAAGGAAACACAGAAGGTGAAATTGCTCGCATTTATATACACATTTCAAGAGAATAGATACATAGTTTCATTATGAATCTTTTGTCTGATTTCTGTGGTTGGTTCTTGTAGAGAATTGAAATGTTGGAGATGTCACTCCATGAAACAAAATCGGTAAAAAAAAGACAGACTTGAGAAGCTAATACTGCTACACAGCAATTGTGCTTCAGTTACAGTTTTATTTCTAATATGCTTAAGAAGTCAATGCTCTTTGTCCTATTTTCAGGTCTTGAAGGGACTGGTGGAGATCATTGAGGCCATTAAACCAAATCAAACCGAAATAACCCATAGCCAAGTGCAAAGCGGTTTAGAGCGGAAGACAGTAGTTACGAAAATGTCCGGTTTGAGCTGAAGAAGAAATTGCAATGATCTGTGTAGACTGTAGAATCCGTACTATGGCCATATATTACACTTTCTGCAATTTTATGTTTTTCACTTATACTCCTCCCTTCATTTCAAATTAAGTGTCATTTCATGATTCCAATGCTATTTTTTCTATGAATTTATCGATTTTCTCGTTCACTAAGTTTCTGAAAACTGTTAAGAATTCCAAAAACCAAACAACACAACATTTAGCTACTTGCTTAATTCGTGTGAAAAATGTCAAAACTACACTTAATTTGAAAGAGAGGAAGTGAACCAAAGTTACAAAACATTGACT